CTGTGCGTATACTCATGCATGACTAGTGTGTTTGTGTGTGTGTGTGTGTGTAATGGTAGTCAGATAACAGCCTGTGTGATGTCTGTGGAAGCTAATATCCTCGTACCCTGGGGAAACAGCCGTTGACGGCCGTGACCACCTGACCTCTGTCAGTCTCTGTCAGCGCACACACACACACACACATGACCCCATGGTCCGGGGATGTCTTCATCAACCTTTGCACCTGATCATTTATGTCCGTTTCTGATTGGCTCTTTGATGGATGCATTACTATCAGACAGTTTTTGGGGCGCTGACATCAACGCCCGCATCACTGAGAAGCTCTTCCCAGTCCTCCCTCACCCTTGCTCCCTTTGTCTGCCTTTTCCTTTGCCCCTCATCTGTCCTCCCCCTCTTTCTCACCTTCCCAGAGGAATCCACAGCCTAGGGACACAAGCAGCTAATTTAATTTCTGTCTGTCACAGTCTCTCTCCCTCTCTGTCTGTCTGAACTAAGCATAGCTGGAGGCCAAAGTGGGCCTCAGAGTGTGAGAGCCTGTCTGTCTGTCACGCTCCACTGTCCATTTAACCCGCGCACACACACCCATACACACACATAGGGTGGCTTCAAAGGGAGCAGTGGCTTGGGAAAGGCAGTGTAACTATAGGCCACTCTACCAACACCGCATAGTTGTGTGTGTGGGTTTGTTGTTCTACGGGCAGCTTGTTGTGATAGGTAGCAGTTCAAACAGAGAGCTTCTCACACCAAACATGAGCGCTAATCTCGTTTGGGATGACTTTCACATAAGACACAGACGATATGAAACGGCAATGGCCACACCGAGCGCTACGATACGTTCACTATTGGTGGCCAACATGTCGCACTGATCAAACTTCTGCTGCAGAAAAAAAGATTATTATTTATACAGTGATTGCAAAGGCGAGGATAAACGTGTTTAAAGGACGTACTTAAAGATGGTGAATTTAAAAAAAAAAGTAAATAGTTGTATTTCCATATTTCTGTTTTTAGCAGCCAGAGTACCTATCTTCTGATCCTATATTCTTATTGTATTTAATTTGTGTTTTATAATTCAGACATGCAGCTCTGCCTCTTTGTTGCGCAGCCACGTTTCTAACAAAGATTTTGGTGGCTTGAAAAACAAGACAAAGATATTTATCAGATGTTCAACTCACTGGATCCAGGTGTGCTCCTGCAGGGCTGATGTTACCTGCTTGCCTCCATGTTTATCCTTGTGCCAGTTGGTGCCAATTTGGAATCACTTCATACCTTCTATGGCACAATTTTCATC